ATGCAACGAATTTTAAAAATAGATTTTGTGAAAAACGAGAATTTCAACATGCATACATATACATAATAGTCGTGTGAGTTAGTCTACAATGTTATGGTTTAAACAAAATTATTACCAACTATTCAACCGCAAAATACATTGTTGCGATCATACGACATATCTTCCAAAATTCTGCAAATGTTAGAATTCTACAAAAATTTATATTTAAATCTTCCAAATAGAGTTTATATAATTTTTCTATTAGAATACTGCAGTTGTTTTAACTATTTTGTAAGTATTATTCGAATACCTGTGCATTTTCTCAATCTTGAATTATATCGAAATCCAGAAGGACAAGCCGGTCGTTGACGTTGATGTTGTTCGGGTATTGGTGGTTGTTCGCACCTAAAAAATGTACAGAATAGTTATAATAGATGTTACAAGTTTTTAATAAGAAAATATACAATTTACAAAAATATAGCTTACCTGTAAGTACCTGGTAGATTGATGCATCTTTGTGAAAGTCTAGCATCACAGCTATGTTCACCGTTTAAGCATTCGTCCACGTCCTCGCAACGTCTGGTCTGTAAAGAATATTTATAACCCGATGAACAGGAAGGCAAACGTGTTAAACATTCATAGCTGCCTTCTTTGTTAACACAATACTGATGAAATTGTAAGCGACAATCGTGAAGATTTTCAGAACATTCGTCGATATCAACGCAGGTTCCATTAAAGGCACGTTTGAATCCACTTCGACAAAGTGGTATTAACTGGCAATGATAGGAACCATTGGTATTAACGCATTGATGGGTCATTTGTGGACAATCGTGTCTACCCAAAAGACACTCGTCCACGTCCTGACAACTCTTCGTCGTTGTGCTGAAGAACCATCCAATGCTGCAAAGTGGAGAACATTCATAACCACCGAGAGTATTGCGACATCGTTCGTGATCTCGACAACCTGGTCCTGTTACACATTCATCTATGTCAATGCATTGTCCTGTTGCAGGATTCCTTCTGTATCCCAATGCACATGGTTCCACACTCCACTGACGATCGTCGATCTACGTAAAGATATGTTTAAAAAAAAAAAAGCAAATTTAGATCTTATCAGGTGGCAGGTGAACGAAATGTACTTGTATCCTATTCGCACGAGAATCAATCATTGTCCTTAAAGTAGTCCAGTCTGCAATATTTGTTCTGGTCGTTGTCGTGCTCGTAGTAGTACTCAACGTTTGACAAACATAAGAGCCATTGGTATTACGACAAACTTGAGAATTCTTGCAGGTGTGTAAACCAAGTGAACATTCGTCTATGTCTCGGCAATCCTCTTTTCCGTTAGATCCAGCCTTTTTGTACGGCTTAAATCCTGGCAGACAGGCTAAATAACATTTGTAAGTACCCAAAGAATTCACGCAACGTTCTCCTACAGGGCAAACCGCTATCCCACTAATACATTCATCCACGTCTAGTAGAAATACATGAAAAACGGAGACGATCAAATATAACGAAGCAATTTGTAATAAATATTTTTTTTACATATTATATAGCATCTCACCAATGCATAATCTACTTTTTGAATCGAACTTATATCCAGAATCACACGATAAGTTGTTCATTTCACTCATCGTCATAGGTATCGTCGTTTGAATTCCTGTTTTGTTATCCCTACTATATAAAATTATATCTCTCTCTTTTTTTTGTTGTTGCTGTTCTTCTTCATTATCATTTACATTCCTGTCAGTATGTACTAACAGTTCGCACCTAATAAAATTCATTATATTCACTTATATGATTCATATACACAAATCATCAAACTATGTATATTTTCAATGAATTCGTATACCTGTAACTACCGATCACATTGAGACATCGCTCGTCCGATTCACAAATATGAAGCTGTTCAGTACATTCGTTAATATCAATGCAATTTTCCGTGAGATTTTGTGATGGTTTAAAACCAGGTAGACAATCAACATTCCACGCAGTTTTATTCAATAGAGAACCAAAAGAAATAAAATCCTTTGATCTGGTACATTCGTAACCACCGATTGTATTAATGCATTGTGTTCCAGGTTCGGGACAAGGCATAATGGTTTCAGTGCATTCATTCAAATCTAAATAATATTAAAAGAAATGAACTTTTCAACATCGAAGAAAATTTGTAATAACATTTTCAAGAAAAAAGAAAGGAAGAATAGGGTCTTTTTATTGGATTTATCATATAAACTAAATGTTAATAATTGTTACCTCGCATGCATCGAAAACCAAAGTAAAAGGGTCGACATGCTGATATAGAGAATAAAAAAACGAAATTGCGTGTATATTTCTATGGGACAGTAAAGAAAAATAAATCGATAAAAATTAAATAATTCTAATCGAAAAGATTAAAATAAATTACATTATAACACTAACCAATACAATTTCCAGAACTAATGCTATAAACGAATCCCTTGTGACACTTAATATCACACTCATAAGCTCCAGCAATATTTCTACACTCTTCTGTCTCTTCCAAACAACTATGTATCCCTTCAGCACATTCATCTACGTCTAATCAAAAAATAGGAAAGTTTTTGTATGAAGTCTTCGTCATTAGATGACTTCGTTAATTATTTTATGTACCTTTGCATGTTTGAGATGTCTTGTCGAATTTAAATCCCGCAGGACATGACTTCGTACCTACCATTTTAAGACAGGAAAAACTACCTTGTGTGTTTACACAAAAATGTGTACTTTCCGTACATACATTTGGTGATACGACGCATTCATCGATATCTAAAAAATATCCTTTCGTATATTTGTTTTTATTTAATCAATGAATATTTTCTTATTTCAACACAAAGCGTTCATCATACATATTTAAAACAATCTCTAAATATAAAAATATTGGTAAATAACAAAAGTATCTCTTTTATATTTTAAATGGAGATATACCTGTGCAAACTTTAGTCCGAGCATCCCTTTGATATCCAGGCGGACAAGCTTCGTAAGCTGCATTTTTTTGTGTTTTTATGATGCATCTGAATGATCCTATGGTATTTTCACATCGTCCTGGACACTGAATTTTTCTTTCCAAGCATTCGTTTATATCTAAATGCGAGATGGTATCAAGACAAAAGCACGAAATTATGATAAAATCGAGTTCAATGCAATGCATTGTGCACAAAGACAATAAGCGAATAACAAATTGACTAGAATAAAAAAGCGGGAGCAAAAGCAAGATAAAGATCTCGCGTTACCAAGCTTACGGTCTTCACCATTTGTTATCGTTACATTCTTTTACCTTTCATACATTTAATTTGTTTATAGAGCTTCTCGAGAGTTCTACATGAATACATACCATTGCAAACCTGTAAAGTAGAATTATAGCGATAACCAGCAGGACAGAGAGGTAATAATGCGTCATCCTCGACAGTTTCAGTCGATCCAGTACTATTCGTTGTTGACTTTAGAATACAGGAACGTTTGTCATCAGCCAATTCGAATCCAAGATTGCAACTGCAACGGACTGCTACACCAGTGTCTGTACATCGTTGCTCGCAAGGATTGGTGGACTTACATCTAGAAGAACATTTAATGTTTCGTATAAAAAAATACTAATCGTTGTTTATGCAATAATTGTACCTATCGGTCAATAGATCTTGTCTACAAGTTTTTTCATCTTCCAGAAGAGTAAATCCTTCGCGACAAGCGCAATAATAAGATCCTGGAGTTGGTATGCATATATCGGTACAGAGAAGACCTTTCATCAGTTGACAAATATCATCCAACGCTATAGAAAAAATTGTTCTATCGTAAAAAATCATGATGAAAATTTGTTTCTAGCTTCTTATCCTTGATCTTATCACTTACGAGGCGTAGGAATTGTCGTCGAATCAGTCGAGAAAGGAGAAGAAGATAAGGACGAAGAGGAAGAAGACGATTCCGAAGATGAAGACGTCATTGAAGAAGCGGATAGAGAAGTCTCAGATTCAGTTTCCGTATTACTATTAGATGAAAGTGTAGAATATGTAGCATCCGTAACCAATGTAGTATTCGGTAATGCTTCGTAACAACATTGTAAAAACGCAGGATCCCATGGGATTCCAAAAGTAAATGTTTTGAATGAGCAACCTTGGTCCATAGAACCAGCAAGTATTCCTAAAATATCGGAAATCATACATATTCTATGATTCCTAGTAAAAATAAATTTCGGGAATTTCTAGCAAATGTTTAGTACCGAGCTTGCAACCCTCGCAACAATCACGATGATAATCTCCTCGTCTCGGTATTTTCACGCTGGTGCTCGTAACGCAGGCCAAGCCATTTCGAGCATCAGCTTTTCCTTTTTCACACTGTTGATCATGATAAGTTCGTACGCAACAAATATCCACAGCTTCTAAACAGAGACCCTGTTCGACTCTAGGCACCCCACTAACCGGTCCAGTAAATTTTTCACATTTAAGTCCTTCCATTGCCCATGAAGTACCAAGGCCACAACATTTTTCAAATTGTGCTTCTATTCTAGCTTCGACTATAATCCCTGAAAGGGAGAAACAGTGAATTCTATTACCTAACCATTTGCTTTTATCATTTTTATCATTTTATCTTGTCTTAGATTTTGCCAGTGTTTTTCTTTTTTGTTTTTCACAGAACAAACACAACCAAAGACAAGAATCGTTGATCTAGTATCAAAAGCAAGTTATCTCCTATTTGCATTTTATTTCTCTACCTATTTTCATTGAGGTATTCGCGATCTAGAATGAGCAGGAAGTAGGTAAGGGAACAAAAATACGAATCATTGCGCGCGAATAAGAAAAACTATTGTTTGAATAACATGATAAGAAGAAAACTATGCTAATTAGAAGAGTATCGTTCATAGAAACCATCTTATTGAACAAACATAAGAAAACTGCGCAAGTTAAAAAAATATTGTTCATAGAAATCATCTGTTGAGCAAATATAATATTTCATGAAGTACCTAGAAACCAAGTGATTAACAGCTTCAACATTTAATGTAATATTGTTTGACAAGTTACTTCATCATCCTCGACTATTCTTATCAATGATATCAGAATACGTATAAACAAATTTTTTATTCGACAATGTATGACTTATGTATATATAGGTATATTAAGAAAATTCTTAAATAAATTCAATAGGATTTTTAATGGATCTGATCGCGTCTCGTTGATATGCATCACGCTTAACGCTTGTGAATTTATCGAAGTCAATTCAGAGACGAGCGTAGCCCGCGTACACAAATAGGGCTAGGTCACGATGGCTAATGGAATGATTCGTTTAAGACAATCGCACGCGCTTATCCAACAACGACGGCTCAACGAAACGATGAAGTTCAACGCGAAGGAGAGAATAATAATAAGACATAAGAGACTAATCGAAAGAATCTTCATCCTCCAACGGTAACATTACAATATTTTTACAATCTACCTTCCGTTATGTGATTGCAAGAAATTATAGAAAATTAATCGATATGTGTTGTTAACAAATTTCTTTAAGCAATACCAAAATGAAAGAATTACCTCCCCTCTGCAATAATAGCAACTGCTCCAGCTGGACGATCAGAAGAAAGATAAAGCAGCCGTAGAATTCGAAACTTTTTCGCGTCATCTTCTTGCACCGGAATCTTTTTTCCGTATGTTAAAAAAATCGTATTGTTTTCGTGCTATCGAAACTCGCGATCTATAGATCGATTCTTTTTTCTTTCTTTCTCTTTCTTTCTTTCTTTCTCTCCAAGAGAGAAAAAATCTTTTTAAAGAGAAGAACGCACTGCACTTCAGTCGAGCGCTTGGCTTGCATTGGAGCTCTCGGATCTCAGTCGCTTCGGTTTTGTCATCTGCACCTTTGTAACGCGTCTCTCCCTCGTAAAAGATCTTACCATCTCTCCCCACCCCCTTTCTCGCTCTCTCTCTCTCTCTCTCTCTCTGTTCTCATCATTACCCCCACCCCTAGTATTTTACTTTAATCCGTCTCTCTTTCTCACAAGGCACGCGTGATGATTCGTAAGGATTCATGATAGAATCCAAGGAACATTCTATCCTTGTCTTTTCTAGTTCTTCTCGTAGTTTCTTCTTCTCCTTCGTCTTTTTAATCTTTCGCGGCATGTGATCTCTTTTCACATTGCCGACCGACACAAAGCTCCTTTTTTGTCGCGGCTTCCTCTTTCTTACTCTAGCGCACAGTGCTAGCCTTGTTGATCACGCGAATTTCCGTACCACCCGCAGGGTATAGGACAACTCTACCCTATTATCGAGTTCGAAAAGATTCGGCAATGCCGGACTTCTCTTTCCTACTTCTTCTTTTACCAACATCGTTTCTTCTTCCTCATCCTTTTCATCTGTTGCTTTTTCTTTTTTTATTCGACCCTTCCTACTATCGTTCTTCTTCCTCTAATACTTCCATCAAAAAATCGGTAATGCTGACTCTCGTTCAAGTAGTATCATTGATTTTCTTATTTCAAATATTTTTCACACATTTTACATACTATTTTAATATTTACAAGTGTTTATTTTATTATAATTTTACAGATTGTAATTTGAATGAAACAATCAATCTGTTAATATCTGTATCATGAAAATGATCAATTTAATTTGTTGCCGCAAGGTCATTTTTGTCAGTGGTAGATACTTAAAGTATTTCGTCACTCTTAAGAATATCATTAAACGGTTCATTATCGAATGTACATGATCACTGTTAGAATTATGTAATTATTTATGTAAAGGATAAAAGATTACTTATACGTGATGATGAATTTAAAAAAAAAATTTTCATCACAACATCCTCAACTCGATGGATTAGATCCCGTATAAGGGATAGGAAATTTGGTCACATGTGCCATATGTGATGGTATGACGCTTCGCTATGAGAACGAGGAAGATCATCATCATGAAAATACATAACGAGATTAATATGGCTCTCGTAATACGCGTGATACCGTAACGATCGAATAATATCCGGGTTACAGTGTCGCTTGTTGTAAAAAAGTTATCCATATTTTTGTCAGTCGAAAACGTTTCATAGTCGGAACGTGCCACGTTCTTCCTTCAAACTTCATCTGCGTCTTAGGCGTCGTTTTTGAACCCGAAGTGCTCTTTTTTGTTTCATCTTCCAAACGGCACATGTTTGTGGCCTGTTTGCGTTTAAAAAGAAAAAGAAAGGAGAACGAATACTTAAGCAACTATGATATGACGATAGAATACTTGATATTCGAAATAAAATCAATATAAGATGATAGAAATTGGAAATATTAATTATAAAGGACAAATAATGATGAAAAATATTTTATAAAAGTTTGTATTTATATCATAGCAAGGTTCGAGGGATGCTGCACATAGTTAAAATGTTCAATTTATGATCATATCAAATTAGAAACTTTACATGGAATCGTCGGAATAAAAATGGATCAGTTTTGTTTGAATAGACTATTTACATTTTTAAAATCAATATATAATCAAGGCTATTCCAACAATTTGTCCATGCAATATAATGCCTTTAAAGAGATATCAATTGTGGTAGTTGAACCAATAACGCGAAGATCAATATAAAAGCATCAGGTTGAATAACAAAATTTCACATGAGTTTTGATGAAACGATAGATGTATGGCAATGAAGATTTTACCATTGACTTTCAAATATTCTTGTTAACTTATATAATAAAATATAGCGTATTTTATTTTATATTAAAAAAATTATTATAAATAATACAAAATAAACAGGAAAAAGTGTATGTAACGGAAATAATTATACATTCTCAAACTATATTTTATAGATCTTATTATGCTTATATTCTCTAAATACGAATATATAATGAAACATACGCAAACTAGAAACTTAATAATATTTTGTTCATCGTTAGTAGGATATTGAATAAAACAATTTTTTTTCCATATTTCAATGATTTATATAGTATTAAAAATATTATGAATATGATTACGTATTTATGAAAAAGAATAATATAGAAGCATTATTTTCTCGATTAAAACTTAAGAAAGATAAAACCTTCATTGCATTTTACATCCATAGCTATATTTATTCTCGTCGTTCTCAAAAATGTTACCTGACATTTCTCATTGAAAGGTAATGTTCAGGAAATAGATTTTGATGGGAAATAGAACAAGTAGAACGCCTGCTTGACGCCTTCATTTACCTCTTATATATAACCTAACTTAATAATATAATGGTAATATTATAGACCCAAGCAGGTGTCCTCTGTTGTATATCTAATATTCGGGAAATGACTAGGCCATATGAATATAACTTAGGAATATCTAACACCCGACATTGTTTTGACATGGCGCATGGAGGGAACTCAAACTGCATTATTTCTAAGTCACTTTCGGTACACTACTAAGAGTGTCATATTGCTTAACGCACATACTTAAAGAGAACTTTTGTGCGCGAAATTAATTTCTCTATTTATATTCTTAAACATTTTTTTCCTAAGTTTTATTCATATGGCTTAATGTTTTTAGTTCGACAAACTTTCTTTGTTCTCGATCAATCGAGGATTCAAGTTCCTTGATGCTTTCACAATTTCAGCAATGACGACTGATTATAGAGTTCAAATTTTAATTCTATTCTGGTTCTTCTCCATCACCATCTAAAATGTTATATTTCTTTGAGCATTCCTGAAGATTATGGTATTAACTATAAATATAAAATGAACTATTCTAACTTTTAAAAATACCTTCACGATCCGCTTCATCATCTACAAGTAAATCATCCTCTTCATTTACACCATCATCTTCATCATGCACAGCCTCCTCTTCTTCATCTTCTTCATCTACGTCATCTTCAACTACTACTATGCTATCATCTCCCTCTTCTCCTTCACCTCCTTCATCGCCATCATCTCCACCACCATCTTCTTCTTCTTCTTCTTCCTCTGTTTCACAATCCTCGCCATCACCCTCAACACCATTTTCAATATCAATATCTGGAGCTAGATAATACTAAAACAATGAGAAAATAACAATACTTCTATATGTAATATAAATATCACTTTTAATATTTGAATTCATATCAATTATACCTGCAAAGGATTAGGCCACATATCATCTTTGATTAATTCAGCTATTTCATCTGAACTAGGATCACCATGATCCGTGAACCAATCAAAGAATGATCTATGTTTGAGTGGCCTCTTACGACCCTTTAAAGGTGTTTTTGTTTTTGCACGTTTTGTTAAATCTGCTCCTTCTTTCCAACGAATAGGCGTACTTTGGGATGCTGGATCTCCTGCAAAACAGCAGGAGATTAATCACAACTAAGATACTTGAATTTCATATTACTGTATTATATCCTAATATTTTGCAAAAAAGATAGAGATATATAAATCAAAAACTGTGCTCACCGGAAGAACCTAGATGAAACTCTTTAGTGAGAACCTCATTTTCGAAATATGGATTCTCATCAAAGTGAAAATTAATTCTATAACCAGATTTAATGTCTTCAAATTCTTCAACCTCTAATTTATTCAAAAACCGTAGTGCATCTTCTTCATCTTCTTCCAATATTTCAGCTATTTCTTTGTTGTTTACAAACTATTTATAAAATAAGGAATAATAATATGCATTCGCTATCTTATAGAAAATTTAGTATTAAACCTATTACGATAAATCAGAGTAGCATATAAATGTAGCTTAATAAATATAAAAAAAAATTATAGTAAGGAATAAATGCAATCGTTATGAGATAAAAAAAAATCATGCTATAAAGCAGTTGCAAATTTGAGATTATAATAAAAAAAGGAAGCGTGTTCATTTTGATTATATCTACAGGTTATATACACTTTTGTAGGTACACAAGTGGGTAAGATGGCGGCTGGCGCCGGCGGACGCCGGCATCGCCGGGAAATGTCAAAACTATAAAGAGTTTTGTCATTTTTCTATCGCAAATAACGTTGGCATCATAAAGGATACAGCAGTGACCCAAAAGTTGGGTATCCTCTTGATAATATCGTTACGTTTTTGAAAGTAAGGTTTACGCAATTTATTGTACTTTTTCTCGACTTCGAGAATCTCGTCACTGGCCTTCTCGTTCAAGCCATCGATTTGATTCTGACATCCATCTATTTCTTCAAGTGTCTTCTGTATTTCAATGTCATAATCTCGAGCCTCGACTCCTTCACCCGAACCTGGATCTTCTATCTCCTTCGCCTTTTTACTCGCCGACGACATTGTTGAACGCGCGCTATTGTCACACCACTCCACCGCTCTCTTTATGTTTATTTCCCCTCGCACTTACCCCGAAGAATCACGAATTCGCGGCGGCGCGCAACATCATGCGAACAACCTTCGATCGTGGATCCAACGATGAATCTAGACAGGCATAACTCTCGCTTTTTTGTTCCAAGCAAAATGGCTATGATTGTTTAATCTAGTGTAATCTAGTGTAGTCTAGTGTAATCTTATTAAGATAGCCAATCAACACAAATTCTATACAAATTAATCTTTATTTTATATGGCTTTAATATTCATATCAATTATTACTTTATAATGTACTTATATAATTATTTTATTTTAATTGTTTTGCAATCGATTATGAACAACTAATTTAATTTAGCTAGATATCTTGAAAAGGTATATACAGGATAGTTTAATGTGCTTTATTTGTCGAGCATTTACCTTATATTAAATACTTAACAAAAATATACAATTTTTTTTCATATGTAAATAATACTGTATTATTTTTCTCTTTCAATGTTAACCAACATACAATAATATAATCATAAATATAAAATTTGAACTGGTTTAACCGACTGATAGCAATCATACGAATCAAGCCTTTATTATTTAAAAGAAAGAAATAAAGAGAGGGAATACCAAATCATGATTTAGAGAAAGTGTCGTCATACAACAAATAGTTCATGATTAAACGCGTATATAAAATGATTTTTAATCGATTCAATGTAAATTAAACTTTAAAGATATTGAAGATCAAGCACGTGCTTCTTGATACTTATACTTATAATAATATCTTATAAAAAAATAAATTGATGATCGAAGATTATCGAAGGTTTCAATGAGTAAAAATGTCCTTCGATATTACCTATGATCTGATTGGCATACCCCCTTCTTTAACACGCGTTTCGAACGAATAGAATTACGTAAGTTCGAAAGGCGGCTATAGATCAACCAATCAGACATCACGTAGTATCTTTGCGCCCAGGATATTGCTCAGAAAATCAAGATGGCATCCGAGAATGATACGGGTATCGTGTCAAATGAACGATGTGATGTAAATAATACGATTCAGCAAGTGTTTGAGCCGTTGAGAAGGGAAATATCGAGCGCGAAGGTGCTTGGAACACAGTGGAAGAACGTGAACAAAGAGGCAACCGATTGTTCCGCCGATATTGGTTTAAATTCGAACAGGACGCCCACGGTTTTCCCTACAGCGTCATCGTTCAACACAAACACCGACCGACATGAATTACAAAGAAACGCGAACACTTTGAGTTCTTCTGGTGATGTGCAAGAATGTGCGAATTATAAATTCATTATTAGTACAACTTTGCATAAATTACCTTCAAAGCCAGACAGTATGTCCACTCAGAGGAATGATCTAGACAGTGCTGCTTGTGTACCTGAGAAAACAGACGGTAATCATGTATATAGTGCTTTGAGCAATATCATATATACAGAGATCTGCATCTTTTCCATCCCTAGGATCTTTTTTATATTTATTTTTTATTATTATTTTTTCTTTGCATATATGAAACCAACATTTTGAACGAAGTATACCAACTAATAATTTATTTTTGATATATTTTTATGAAGCATATGCTGTATATCGTTATCGAAGTTCATTTAAAACTTATAGCCGAATACATTTAGTAAAATCGACTTGAAGTTTATTTATTCTTGTTCTTTTTAATCTTTGACCGATGTTATTATTTAGTTCTAAGTATATATAAGTTTCTGTGAATATTGTCTTTTATATTTGCTGTAGATAATCCAGATCAATGTAATAATGAATTATTGAGGACTGCAAGAGAACCAGTGCAACATATTATTCATGTAAGTAATTGATTTTATAGTTTCGGAAAAAAGTCTATTATCTACATAAGTTTATTGTATTTATTAGACCGATTCCACATGTGGCAACAGTACATTATTATCTACCAGTATGCATGCATTACCAGCAAAATTAGAGGGATGTTTAAATTTCTCTAACAATACTCCTCAACTTGGAGAAAGCCCACAGAGTAATGGAGAAGTAATCAGTAGTCCTCGAAGTCCAGATTACCCTCCAAGGGTTTCAAATAGTCCAAATAGTCCAGATATAATGTTTCCTATTACTATGACATCAACACATACCGATTCTAATATTAATATAATGGATACAGCAAAATATGATGAAGAAAATACTGATACATCTACAAAAATTAGCACAGAGTTGCAGAGTTATCAGTGTTGTGGCAAATTGGAAATGAATGATTCAGAAAATTCTGTTTTACAAACAAAAATAAAGCAGGAACATGATTCAACCGAAGAAAATATACAAGACACAACTAAAACAGAAGTAGTTGAACAAAAAGAAGAATCAGAAATTATTAAATCAAATTGGGGAAATGAGAGAATACCAATTACTGTGACAAATAAGACCGATAGTAATACACATCAAAAATCTATAGAACCTATTAATACATCGTCTTCAAATTCACATTCAAAGGTGGATTCATCATCCAAAGACAAACGTAAAGAACATAGTGATAGAAGACACTGTTCAAGATGCTATAGAAGAAGTAAAATCAAACGGGCAAATGTTGGTGTCCAATGTAAACGTGATCGTAGTATACTTCCTTTAAATACTAAAACAATTTCTTTACCATTATCAAAATCTACTAGTGATAATCTGAGACTTAATTTACAAACAAAAAATTACAAGATGCTTAATAGTACAGGCGTGAAAAGTGAATTATTAGAAGGCTTAAAATATAAGAAATTTATTCATATAGAGACATACCCTAATGGTGGGGCAACTGTTGTGCATATGTTTCAAGATGAAATTGATACTTTATCCAGTGAACAAGTAGAAGAATTGGCACAAGAGTATTTTAAAGTATGTAATTCAGAATGTGAATGATTTCTTAATTACAATGATTATACTTTTGTTATATGCTTTTTAAATACAAGTATTGATATTTGAGAAATACGGACTGAAATCAATAACATAAAAGGTAAAATGTTTTCAAATCCTAATTATAATTCACAGGTAGTTTTTGGGGAAGATGAAAATGGTAATGCTCATCATGTTATGGGAATAGTACATAATGCAGCAGCATATCTTCCTGATCTTTTGGATTATATGGCAAATAATTATCCTACTTTAACAGTGAAGAATGGAGTATTAGGAAGAAGTAGTGATATTGAAACAACTACTATGGTACAGTACAAAGAGCAAGTTTGCAAAGCATACAGTAATGGAACAATACGATATGGACCTTTACATCAAATAAGTCTTGTGGGTACTGTCCATGAGGAAGTTGGAGGTTATTTTCCTGATCTTTTACAAAAATTAGAGGAGAATCCATTTTTGAAATTGGTAAGAACAAATAATAATATATATTAAAGCAACGAACGAATTAAGTTTTGTATAATTAGTATGTAATTATATAATTTTGATTGATTTACATTAATTTTAGACAATGCCATGGGGTCCACTATCAGTAGTAAAAATGGAAACTCCACAAGAATCAAATGATGGTCCTATTCTATGGATTAGGCCAGGGGAACAACTAGTTCCGACGGCAGATATAAATAAAAGTCCTTACAAAAGGCGTAGAACGGGAATAAATGAACTACGTAACTTACAATACTTACCACGACTTAGCGAAGCTCGAGAATACATGTTCGAAGATCGTACAAAAGCTCATGCCGATCATGTAGGTCATGGATTAGATAGGATGACTACAGCTGCTGTTGGAGTATTAAAAGCGGTGCATGGTGGTCAAGCATCAGAATATAATAGAGTTACGAAAGACGTTGTGGCATTTTACGCTGGTGATTTTCCAGAGTTAGTTGAAAAACTTCAACTAGACCTCCATGAACCACCAATATCTCAATGCGTACAGTGGGTCGAAGATGCTAAGTTGAATCAATTAAGAAGACAAGGTATTCGTTATGCAAGGATAAATCTTTATGATAATGATATTTATTTTTTACCCCGTAACATTATTCATCAATTTAGAACTGTCTCAGCTGTTTCAAGCATCGCATGGCATGTTAGATTGAAACAATATTATCCAGAGTCACAACATAATTCAAGCATAAGACATAGTCGAGTTATTAATGAATCTACCCATCGTATTAAAGAAAAAAAACCATTAGAAACCGTTGGTATAGGAGATGAGCAAAAAGAAAATACTAATCGTCAACGATTAGAGCAAAAGCTTTATTCTGATTCTCTTGAAGAAAAAAAGGCTAAAGAAAGAGCTGCGGAGTATCAAGGAAATTTAAAAAAGTCAGATCAACATGGAAAACGAAAAGATGATCGTAAAAGCCGTGATCATAGCCGACACTCATCTGTTAAAAGAAAAGATTGCGAAGAAAATAATGATACGGCTACAAATCATTTTAATGACAGTAAAACTACAAAGAGTGGAGCTAGCGATCAAAAGTCTAGCAGCAGTAAAAGGGATGATAAAAGGTCTGATAAAAAACACGAGATACGACGTCGCAATAGTGACAAATCAAGTCACCATTCACATGGTAGCAGTAGTAGCAGTAACAATAGCAGCAAAAGTAATCATTCTGGAGAAAAGAAGAAATATGATTGTAATAGTCATAAATTAGATCATCATCGCAGTCATCATAGCAGATCAAGTGGTAATAATAATGTTTCGAGTAAAGAAACTATTTTGAATGTGATGGAAGAACGAACATCTATTAAATATGGTACAACAGGATCTCCTTTAAAAGACAGCAAAAGACATTTTAGTTCTTCAGAAATTTGTCCACCTGTATTAGAATCTTCTAATTCTGAAGTAATTGTTTTGGACAATGAAGTATTAAATCAAAGACAGCTAATAGCTAAAACGTATGCAACTGAGGTTGTTGATAAGGCATTAGAAATCGCTATATATAAGTCTAAGACTGACGTTGATGAAGTTTGTCAATCTCTAAGGATTGGTGTAGCTGAAGCCTCAAAAGAAGTGCTAGATAAAATTAGAAAAGAAAGTTTTGAAATTGCCGAACAAAGGTTCAAAGATGATACTACAAAACTGGAAAGGTATTCTCAATTACTTGAAATGGAAACTGTATTAGCATTTACATCGAAAATGGAATGCGCAACAGAAAATGCTGTGAAAGCTTTAATTGAAATGGCCGAGGACGAAGCTAAAGAAAGAATAAAAAACGAGAAACCATCTGAGAGTCCTGCTGAAGATCATACCATCCCTGAAAACCAAATTCCCACTTTAACCAGTACAAGTTCTTGCTCTTCCGTTTCAATGACTACATCACCATTGATGGAAAGTGAGAAATACAATAGTAGTAGTAGAATTAGCAATGTAGAAGAAAAATCCTTAAAATCATCCGATCATCACGTTTCTGTCGGAGAATCTAAACGAAAGTACAGAGATGAGAAAGATTCTAGAAGTCAGAGGCACAAAGAAAAAAGAGATCGTGACAAACGAGATCGTGATCGTAAAAAACATCGTCATCGAAGTCCACAAAGTAAATCTGAACATAAAACAAGTGAGACGATAAAGGAAAGTTCATCAAAGAATGTGACCTCGTCGATTCGAGATGTTTCTAATTCTAATAAACCTGCAGATTCTACTGACGTTAAAGAAAGTGAAAAGAAATTAGAAAAACGAAAGGACAGTCATCACAGTCATGGAAAAGACGGACAAAAGAAATCATCCAGCAGCCGTTCCAGTAAAGACGATACAGGATCGAGTAATTCACATTCGACGAGTTCAAATCATAAACGCAAGTCAAGTTCGTGTTCAGAACATAAAGAACACAAGAAATTGTGTACAGAGAAAGAAACAATTTCACGAACATCTGAAACAAATATTAACCCTTCAGTTCCCACCACAACAATTGTGACAACACCAACTGAAATAACTTCTACGAACGTTGTTACATCAACGACATGAAAAGGTGAAAATTACTTTTAATGTGTAATACAGTCTATTTAAAAAGTTGACTGTTTATGTTAGCTTAGCTATGACTAATATAGAAATATGTGCACTTTTAATTGGATGAAGTGATATATCAAGAATGATGAAAGTTTGTGCTTGATACACAAACTTCGATATTTAACTGTTAATTTGATTTGATGCACTTTCATCTTGAATGAAAAGATGATGTTACAGATCTAATTGATTTTCAGAGCTTACTGTTGAGAAGTCCAAATTGACGTCTGTATTGCAAAAGTTATTTTGCTATGAAAACTCTGAGTGTCTCACAAACTGAAAGTGAAGAATATAGTTGATAAATATTTATACTATAAGTGATCGATCAATGAGTGGTGTACAAATAGAACTTGTACAAATTCGTGGTTGGAAATTTTTTCCGATCAGCATAAGATTATTGTGCATTGTATATAGACCAAAAAATGCCCTATTGGGAAGATTGTGTCACAGCAAAGCTTGATTAAATTATTTATATATGTAGATATATAATATAGTATATGTTAAATTATTTATATTTTCATTATATCTTATGACAGTACAGAAAATTCTTAATTTGGAAAACAAAGCTATCAATCATATTGTTTCCTTTTTTATTCTTTTTTTCTTTTTATCATAAATCGTACAAAATTACCATTCTTTAAATTCATACTGTAAAGAATAACATTTTTTTGTTTACCCTATTAATTAGGAATTCGAGATCGATAAAAAAGGAAGAAGAAATAACAGAATACTTTTAATATACGGATTATAGATTAAGTCGGAATCTATATATTATATTATTATTGGAGATATATATGATAAAACAGATATATGCACATGCTTTTCATATTTGTTTAGCTGTCACGATATGTCATAATGTGTTACTGTCTTAAAGCAATATATCTTCTTTTCGTTCCTTTACGAATATAAATACAATTTTATATGGACGATACGATGGAGTAGCAATAAAAATCTGAATATATTTTTGTTTGAAGCAAAAAGAAAAAAGCGTATCTTACTTTAAGTTGTAGATAGCAACATTATTTTCACATTATGAGAAATAGTATTATGGGTAATAACAGACGTACAAATTCTTTGCCTTTGAAGATATTACTTGTTTGGGACAGTGAAACATTGCAACAGATTGATCACAAATGTTAATAATATTTTCTCTATTTGAGTAAAATAACAATTGTTCTAAAATTAATGGTAGCTATAGGAACGAAAGAGAGAGAGAGAGAGAGAGAGAGAGAGAGAGAGAGAGAGAGAGAGAGAGAGAGAGAGAGAGAGAGAGAGAGAGAGAGAGAGAGAGAGAGAGAGAGAATGTTAGCAATACGACAGATACATGATGTCGTGTAATGCTAATGTAGATTTGTGTATATGAAATGTAATAGTACACAGAGTGTATAAAGCTTCTACGTATGTAACGATGTAACATCGTATATATTTTATATAATTTTTTATTTCATATACTATGATCGAAAATCTAGTTTAACGATATTTTTTCAGTTCTCCAATTGTTCAATTTGACAATTAAGATTTATTTTTATTATTATTATTATTATTATTATTATTATTATTATTATTATTATTATTATTATTATTATTATTTTTATTATTATTATTATTATTATAATTATTATTATTATTATTATTATTATTATTATTATTATCATTATTATTATTATTATTACTATTATTATTATTATTATTATTATTATTATTATTATTATTATTATTATTAATAATATTATTATTATTATTATTACTATTTATCCAAAGCAGCACTTTTTATGTTATATACCTTCTCGAATATATTTTCTAAATATATTGCCTAAATTATAAATTTCTTATAAATGCAGTCGCATCATAAATTCGTTATCAGACAGAACGGAGATTCATCTGTCCAATAGGGCTTTCATAATTACTCGGATCTGTATGAAAACTTATGAATAGATATATATTTAAGTTTTTCAAGCTTATATTTGTATACACATTTCTATTATACACACCTACTGTTTTAAAGTTTATAAAAAGATTATATCTGGGACAGTGAAAATCCCTCTTTTTATTACACTGTAAAAGAAAACAAAATTGAAAAAATACGTTTTAACAAAATAGTCATGCGTAATAAGATAGTAAACAATCATCGGATTTGTATACACAAGACCATAGATTAGGCAAGACTGAAAAAAATAGTAGCATCCAATAGAATAGAAAACTTCTTATATTAACTGAAATGGTTTTTTTTTTTTTTTTTTTTTTTTTTTTTTTTTTTTTTTTTTTTTTTTTAATAAGTACATACCCGATAGTATTACATAAATCTTCAATATAGATTTATGATGTGCTTCAATCGAGAATTCTAAAATGGAGAAATCTCTATGCAGCTAAAAAGAATCTTTTAACCTAAAGGATTTTTTTAATCTGGTCCACATACACGTGATCAATGCAACAAATTTAGAAAAATAAATGAAAGGAAGATAGTGAGATTCAAATGCGTTTTCTACCTATATTAATGAATGCGCTTAATTAATATCTTCATACATATAATAGAACAGGCAATCGCAATTAGAGACATGATAAATTCTCCGTCTCCGCAAAGAAAAAAAAAGAAAAAATAGAATGGACCAAATTGAAACATCAAAGAATCCATAAGCTTTTTCTCTAATAATATTTATTGAAAGCAGTGTAATATTAAACCAAATAATATAGGTGCTGGATACATCACAGATCTTTTAAGGTGCCTTCTCTCTGTTTGTTGCGGTAAAAAAAGATTAAAACTAATAAATCATAGACTGCTCAGTTATAATCAGTCTATAAAGATAACTTTATTTTCTGTAGCACTACAAGTCGTAGCGCGTAATCTTTCTGAGTGCTACCATTATTTAATATTTAAGACATGATTGATATACGATACATTTTTGATGACTTTGTTTCTCGAACAGTTTTCAAATTCGACGAACGAAAAACATATTTGTGTCGGACAAACGCGAATATGATAACGAGAACAAATGTTTAATATGCCTTTATAGGAGCACATATATAAAATATAATCTAAGATCTTGTGTAAATAATTGTAAAGAAAAAAAAAAGGAAAAAGTATCGATGTGTCTTTCATCGTAGATTGATAAAATATTGAACGATTCTATATTGATTCGTTCGAAAATAATTTGAGAAACAAAGACCCGCATAGTGAAGTTATGTTCCAGAATACATGAAAAGAGGTAAATAATCCTAAAACTTGTTCTATTTTATAAATTAATTAAAAACGGAACAAGTGAATTCATTCATCTATATTGAAAATACAGTTATTTGTCGGCTTCCATATAATGATTTGCCAGTGAAAAAATAATGGACGACTTTTTCATTTTTTAATTATTGGGTTGGCAACTAAGTGATTGCCGGATTTCAAATAAGAAGGAAACGACAAAATCCACAATCACTTAGTTGCCAACCCAATAAAACTTTATCAAATATAAATAATCGTTCTAAATTTCCTAATTAATAAATTATTTATATCACTTATACACATATTGTATATTATATAAATTATATATATGTGTGTGTACATATATCTATACTCAATATATATTGACACGTGTATATAGTAATAAAAATATGTATCTTTTAAAATAAGTTCATAGTGATATGGATAAAGGTTTGTGTAGATTATAGTATGTATTTTATGATGGTATCGAGAAAAAAAACAAAATAACAAAAAAAAAAAATAATATAACATACTTCCGATAGATGCCTAACAGATTTCACACTTCCAAGGTCGAACCAAATTTCGAAGATACTCTTCAGTTTTTATACAAAGTACATTACGGAACAGTAGATTGTTAATCGTCGTTAATGAAAATGTATATGTAGATATTATTATACATGAAATATATAATAATAATAGTAATAATAATATAATATTAATATTATTAATAATAATAAAAAATATACGTTTAAAGAGACCAGTTAAATTTTAAACTTGTATTCTGCGGAATTGAGTTGTGTACATTTTGTAAATAACAACTTCTATATTCTGAAGTATGAAAAAATAAAGAAAAAAGATAGTGGATACTTGTAAAGAAATCAATGCAGGTGATGTAAACAATAGGTTATCGCTATGAGACACTAAATTGCTATTATTCTGATCATATATAACGATATGATTATATATATATATATATATATATATATATATATATATATCATGTTGAAATCACGTGAAAATCATAAAAGCACAGTTATGTGTGCGTATACATATGTACATATTATTGCACATGCATGTGTATACGCATATATATCATGCATATATAGTAGTATGTAGTTTTACATATTATATTCATCATACGTGTAGAAGTCGCATTCCAACGTCTAAGTTTTTAAAGAAATAAATAAATTACTTTGGTCAGAGATGTGCTATTATTTCATAATAAGCTTAACGATTTCATTTTAACTCTTTTATTTTTATTCATTTCTGCATTCACATTTAAATTGATTCATAAAATAATATGCTAGTTTTTCTGGTAAGTAATGCAAGTAACATACTTTACTATTATCTCATGAAATTATACGTATGATAAATCTGTTCCAAAGTTTCAAGCGATATACATGTATTTTTTTTTTTTTGATTTATTTTCTTATCAGAGAGAAAGTACGTAAGTAAAGTATAGTATAATACTACAGTGATATAATACAGTGATATAAATAGAAGAATACTACAGTGATTCAATCAAAATTGTTGATTGTTAGCAAGTATATATTATATATATGATTATTAAATTGATTATTAAATCAACATATTAAAAAGAATATATATATATTAAAGAAGATATATTAAAAATAATTAAGTATAATATTTAAGATAATATTTATCACTTATATAACACATTAGAATGTTGGCCCTTGGAAGATTTTTTATCAAACAACGATTTATCAGAAATTATGCATCTGGAAAGAAACTATTAGAAATAGCAGAAGATCAAAATACAGGTATCTTGATAATTATAATTGTTTGTAAATTTGATATTTACTTTTTTGAAATGAATTTATTTTTAAATGAATTTATTTATTAAAACTTATATATACTAGGAATACATATAATATCTATGGCACGACCTCCAGTTAATAGCTTAAACCTGGAGTTATTAGAAGAATTGAAAACATCTTTGATAGAAACCCAGAAAAGCAATTGTAAAGGCATTGTTCTGACTTCATCACTATCAACAGTTTTCTCAGCAGGCTTAGACATTATGGAACTTTATAAGCCAGATATTGAGAGATTGACTGCTTATTGGCGTACTTTGCAAGATACATGGATGACTTTATATGGCTTAGAAATACCAATTGCTGCTGCAATTAATGTATTACATTATTGAATTTGCTTAATATATATTTTCTTTAATTATCGTTATAATATAACATTTAATATTTATTTTTCACTTATTTTATATTACATATCATAAATATACTTTTACATAGGGTGCTAGTCCTGCCGGTGGATGTTTACTAGCCATTTCTTGTGAATACAGAGTTTTTGTTGAGGGGAAACATACCATAGGCTTAAATGAGACACAATTAGGTATTGCAGCTCCACAGTGGTTTATAGATCTATTTGTTAATACCATTGGTTATAGACATGCCGAATTAGCTTTGTTGAGGTATATATTACAAATAATAAATATTACTATAAAAATCTTAATGTATATGTTCAATAGGTATCTGGTTTTTTATTTCTTAGGGGCACACTTTTTTATCCTAATGAAGCATTAAATATTGGACTTGTAGATGAATTGGCAAATGACAAAGCAGAAGCCATTAAAAAATGCCAAAAGTATATATCTTCTTATGACAGAATACTTAGTAAGTTCATTATTTTATTAAAACTTTAAACAAAAGTAAATAAACATATATATATTTAGAAAATATTTTATATAATATTATTGCAGAACAAGCTAGAAATATAACAAAGTTAAAACTTCGTGAAAAGTTAATTTCCTGGCTACAAGAACATCGAGAGATTGAATTAAATAATATTAAACAATTTATTCAATTAGCAAATATTCAAAAAAGTCTTCATGCATACATTGAAACATTGAAACAAAAATAAAAACAAAATTAAATATTTTTTATGTTACTATGCAACATTTATTATAATTAATATTTATAAATATTATAAATAATATTTATATATTATATATAAATGATATTAAAATATGATATTATTAAGAATCTTTTATTATAAATATAAGTATTTATAATAAATATAAGTATTTTCTACTTGAACATACTGTTTGAATGAAATGGTCTTCTTATACTTCTCTTTATTACAATTAATCATTTTCTTTTTTTAGTCAAATTAGAAACATTATCAATTTCAAAATATGGTAGATGTAATAATATTAATGAATGAAATTGTTTACGTACATTTTGAAGAAAATGGGTAATTTCCAAAATTTTTTGACGGTGCCTGTTATTTTCCTTGCTAGAAATAAAAATTAACCCATCATTCTCTTCGATCTGTATTTAATGAATTGTTTATTTATACAAATTTTTAATACTTATACAACTCTTCACAGTACTCATTATGCCATATTTTTAATCTGCTTAACATACGATCTTCCCTAGCATCAATGACCTAAAATAAATAAAGAATATTTTTTTCTATTATCATTTACATGAATATATTCAATGATTTACTTACACGCAAATGTAAATCGTGTGATGCTGCAAGATTATTACTTAATGTATCTTTGTCTCCACATAAATCTAACAAATGATTTGGGATTTTAGATTCATCTCCAAAACCACTGATATAATACGAAATAATACTATTTATATTATCATTATAGTCTGCTTCAGCATTTCGCATTTGTGAAAAATATTCTCGAGCAGTCTCCAAAAATTGCTCAATCATATTTGTCATATTTACTTTGAAGACTTCATTTATTTCCTTTTTTATAATAAAAAAGTATCATAGTCATAGAATTATAGAAAAACAAGTTACAGAATTTAAAAAATTGCCCATTTTTTTAGTTTCTTTGTTATGTAATACATACTACTAATTGATCATGTATTACAACTTCTTTAGACATTAATTTTGACCATGTTTTGGATATCACATCATTGAAATGAATATACCAATTGTATACCACTTCTACATTATCATCCATTTCATCCATTTCATCATCAAGTATATTAAATAATAGATTTATTTGTGAGAATATTTTAATTTTTTCGTCCGATAATTCATCCACAATACTAAGGATAAAGATAAATATGAAATCAATATAAATTAAGTTAAAATAGTATGTATAATACAATAAAATTATACTTTACTCTTTTGAATCATTTTGTACTTTACTTTTGCCTTCATTAACAACATCATTAAATAATTTAATTTCATCATCTCGTTTAACTTGTTCCTTTAATCCTATTTCATAAAATTCATAACATATAGAAGAAATTTTTTTTCTATATTCCTCAAAAGCATTTTCTGTATCACTATTCACTACAGATAAATCTTTTCCTTCTAATAAATAAAAATATTTTAGCACAAAATTTAAAATACCTAATATTACAGTGTATTGTATTATACCTTTATCATCAAGAAACATATGCCAAAAAAAGTTATCATCGTTCAAATATTCTACATAAGATTTAGATAGTAAATCCTGTAAATTTTTAAATGCTTCCTGTTCTTCCAATTGTTTTTTCTTTTTTGCTTCTTCCTCTTCTATATTACTAATCATATGTCTAAATCAAAATATATAGAAAGTTATATATAATTGTCCTTTGAAATTTATAACGTAATATAAGACATATTCACTGTTGTTTGATTATAGCAGATTGACGTTCTTCCTTAGTAATCATTTTATACTGATAATAGATTAATTGCGGTACAAATGCAATTAGGTATTCTTGATATCCATTTTTCTCCGTACATGGATTATTATTTATGTTAAAACTACATAGATATTTGAATTGTCTTAAATAAATGACCTGCAATTTGCTAATTATAATTTAAGTTGGAAATTAAATTAAAAAAATTATTGGAAAAAGGCTACAAAATTTAGTATATAAAGCATATAATATATAGATTCTATACATGTTCCCAGTCTGTTATCTGGTTATTTCCAATACTAAAAATGTGCAACTTATGCAAATTATTTATGCCCTCGATTTTAGAGATGTGATTATTAAAAAGTAACAATATTTCCAATTCGATTAAATGGTTTAGATTCTCCATTATTTTAATATGATTAAAAGATAGATTAAGTTCTTTCAAGTGAACAAGTGCATCCAAATTTTCAATTTTTTCTATAATGTTATTTGATAAATGTAATTTTATCAAATTTGGCATTACCCAAAGATGATCGATGTTCAAAATATCTGTAGAAATATACATACGTATTATAAGTAAAGTTATCAAATTTGTAATCCTTTTTCATAAACAATTACATACTAAAAAATTCAATTCGTATTTCCGTGATAACATCTAGTTTAATACCATCTTCAAGAAAATATTTTCCAGCATCACCTTTAGGACCTTGATCGATTAATAAATTGATAAGAAGTTCTTCATTTATTACACCAGGCTCTAAAATACTTTTGGAAGCGATCGAGACATCTTGAAACATCGTTCACAAAAAAATATATAATAATAAAAATAAATAATACTACTACATAAAAAAGTTAAAAAGGTGTAATTTTTTTAATTTCGTATACTATCAATACTTATTATTATATCGATTACGTTGCCATGCAACTGTAAATTGTATTATTACTTTTCCTCTATCTTTTTGTTATGTTTTTCTTGGACATAAACAAATAAGTTTAATAATGACCTATAAAATAATGTAATGTAAGAAAATTCTGAAAATATTGTTTAATTTAATAACTTATAAACATAGTTCTACTTTCAAAAAAGCGCGGTATATCGTTGCACTTCCCATAATGCATCTATTACGAAATTTGATTAACAACATGCATTGTTATAATACTATCATTACATAATCGTTAGATTATTGGGAAAATAAGCATATTTGGTAAAACTTTTAAATTATCTATTTATAAAATTGATTATTGCAGAAGCTTTAATTATTTTCAAATATAAGACATTTCATAGATGAAATTTTTATCCAATCAACGAAGGATAAAACCAAGCTATATTGAGAGCAGTTGAGAGAATCGTAGAAGGCCACTAGGATACTGAAGCCAATCATCGTACAAATCTCAAGACGCTCGAATGAACTAACTGCTACATATCTAGTGTCGGTTGTCTTCCTACCTTTTGACATCTCTGTCTTATCATTGTGTAGGTCATATGATTCAGCCTTCTGCCATTCAACGGTGTAAGATCTTATTCGTAACGAATTACGAATATCGCCCTTATCGAAGATTTACACGCGCGCGATATATGTGCACTTGAATCAGGCTAATATAATTTATATTTGACACTGTTTCCGATCATCGACCAAGCATGTCATTTTTTGGAGTCAATGTAAATCCCTTTTCAACGCCAGTGGGCCAAAAAATTGGTAAGATAACTTCGATAATTTAGATTTCGACTGAAATTATGCGTATTATTGTTTAATCCTGCAAATTTCATTTACGTCGTCATAGATAATAATAATCCGTCAATAGTTACATCCATATGCAATTAGACGAGGATTTACTTTCTATTACTTTTCTAGATGAAATGTTATCATACGTCACGATGTTTTTTTCCCTTCTGATTCGATATTTCTATAATGTTAAAGATTAGTAGAAATGTATTTGTATTAAGAGGATTATTTATTCATTTACTCTTGTATCTGAAATTGGATTATGTATTCCAGAGCAAGCTACAGATGGTGGTTTGCCTAGTGAAAATTGGGCACTCAATATAGAAATATGTGATATTATAAATGAAACAGAAGATGGACCTAGAGATGCTATTAAAGCAATTAAGCGCAGGCTTAATCAAGCTGCTGGCAAAAATTATACTATAGTAATGTATACTCTTACTGTTAGTATCAAATCCACTTATTTTTTATATAATGGCTTGTACAAGTATAATTATTATACAAGTATAATTGTACAAGTATAAATATTATATTCTAATGATATTATGTTATATAGGTATATAGAATGATATTGTCTTATATTGGTATATAAAAACACACACATAAATTTTTGGGTTGACTTTATTATAGAAATGTCTAATATTTGATCTTTAATATTTTCTTATCCTAGTTATTATATGTAATATTTGTGATTTAGGTATTAGAAACCTGTGTGAAAAATTGTGGAAAACGTTTTCATGCTCTTGCTTGTTCGCGAGAATTTGTACAAGAATTGGTTAAGTTAATTGGACCGAAAAATGAACCACCAACTGCTGTGCAGGAAAAAATTTTGAATCTTGTTCAAACATGGGCAGATACATTCTGTCATCAACCACATACTCAAGGAGTTGTACAAGTCTATCAAGAATTAAAAGCAAAAGGCATACTATTTCCAATGACTGATTTGGATGCAATGGCACCAATCATTACCCCTCAAAGAGTAAGATATTTTATATGCAAATTATACTCTTATAAAGTGTATAAACTTATTTATTATATTTTATAGAGTGTACCTGAAATAGAACAAGTCTCAGGAAATTTGCCTATAAATGATCAACATATTTCCAACTCTACAGTGATACAACAACAATCGCAATTACAATCATCTAGTCAGTTAACACAATTGAATGAGCAACAGTTAGCAAAATTACAAAGTGAACTGGATGTTGTGCAAGGCAATATGCGTGTTTTATCAGAAATGTTAACATATTTGACAGATCAAACTTCCACTCAACCACCAGATTCTGCTGATCTTGAATTATTGACAGTATGTTATATATCCATTGCAATATCACTTTATATAGTAGTTTTGATTAGCATATTAATTTTTAATTCATATACATTTACACAAACACATGTATATAAAATCTATAGGAATTGCATGCAACATGTAAAGCAATGCAAGAACGTGTGGTAGATTTAATTGGAAAACTGGCTAATGATGAGATGACAGCTGAATTATTGCGTATAAATGATGAATTAAATAACCTATTCTTGCGTTATTCAAGATATACAAAAAATAAAGCTGTACCTGCAAGTACCATATTAGCTCAAACAATAGGTCAACCACCAAATATTGATTTGAGTGCAGAATCAATAAAAAAAGAGGCAGATTCACTTATAGATTTATCAGATGAAATTGATACTGTACAAAAGCAGGTGGCAGGAATGGGTAAGCTGAGATATCATATCAAAAATAACACTTTTATTAAATCTTATTTGATTTTAGATATATCTGAATCTGATGATAATCTTAGGGTAGAAAAAAGAGAAAAGAAAGGAGGAGATAGTGATGAATTTGATATGTTTGCACAGTCTCGTAATGCAACATATGAGACAACAAAAAACAGGTGAAACTTTTTCTAACATTTTCATAATATATACACACACATATATTGGATATTATTATTTCATTCAAAATGTTATGTTATTATATAGCGGTAGCAAATATGAAGACAATATGGAACAGGTGAGCGGAGGAAGTCTAAGTTCAGCAATTCTCAATCGTAACAATCCTAAGTATTCCCATCAAACTGCTTCTACTACTGCTACTACTACTACTATTACTACTACTACTACTACTACTACTACTACTACTACTACTACTACTGCTGCTGCTGTTGCTGCTGCTGCTGCTGCTGCTACTACTACTACTACTGTGCGTAATGCTCCTTATCCTTCTTAAGCTAAGTTACAGTATCATCTTTAATAGTAACACCATTGCAAAATTGAACAAGTTTATAGGAATTTACATGATGTAAATAATGCAACTGTAAAATCAAGTAACTATTTCTATAAAAGGCTATATCAAAAAATAATTATAATTTTATACTTTGCTTGAAAAAAACCTCCTGTAAACTTGAAATAACATCACTAGGTCCAATATTAGTCTTCCAACATAAAAATATAAAAATCGCTATTTACCTGAGAAAATGAAGGTACAGTATTATTGTAAATTGTTACTGCTTTGCATAGCTTTATATGTAATGTTATGTTTCATTATTCTTTCTTTTTTCTTTATATTTATTTATATATAATATTATTATGTATAAATATTTATTGTTTTGTTCAATGTTCGTCTTTGATTTAAATGCTTAGCTCAACCGGGAATCAGAATTCAATGAAATGGCAGCTTGGCTGAATCATACAGTGAGTAATGTGTTTTCATCTAATATTAAAATTTTTTAATATTAATAAAGTGTTACAAAGGATTTGGAACAGGTGAGAACAAGAATTTTTTAATATATAAATGTCGTCTCAATTCAATGTCATAGAATAACAACATGATCATTTTGCAGTAATATAAAATAGATATTGTGTCATATGGAATGTTACAGCCCGCTGTACAAGGTGATCAAGAATCTTTAACATCATCAGAGTTCGAACGTTTTTTAGCAGAGCGAGCAGCTGCTGCTGAAGCTCTCCCTACACTTTCAACTACAACAACTCCATCAAGTACTTCAAACTCTGGAAATCCAAACATACAACGTCAAATCAATAAAGATCAAGATAAATCTTTATTTGCTCTGTAAATGTTGCTGTCGAATCTCTTTTAAAGCAGGTGATAAAAGACAACACAGCTATATACTAATTAATGCCTCTACCTGCATCTGTTATATTAATGTTCATATTAATTTAATCAATTAAACGCAAAAAACAAATAAGAAATTAAGAAAGAGAGGCAAAAGCATTATGCATTAAATTTGCTTTTTTTTACGTACTTAACAAGTGTAGTACCACGCAGTATGTATTGGAATATTTTTGTTATAAGTTCTTACTTATAATGGATAAGTAATGATAAAATAGAAATCTAAAGAAAATATATATTAATTGTGCGACTTCTTTAGTAGAATGATAAAAAGTATTAATTTTGTCTTATTTGTATATATAGAAAATCCTATATTTACAAAATTATATTAAATTTAAAAAGAAAAAAATATAAACAGCAATGCATATCCCTTGCACTACCTTATATCCATAAGAATGCAATTTTATGTAAGGTTGCATTTATTTTTATTAATTACTGAAGCGTGGAACATTAAGTATCATATTTAATAGATCATCTGATGAATATTAATAAAAATATTTTTCTATGTTAAAGTAAATTACAAATGCTCTCCTATTTAAAATTTTGTATAGAATCATGAATTATAACTTGGTAATCATTATAGTTATTTTGTATATTATTATAATGGTTAATATTGTTATATTAGTAGTATTCTTTATGCCACTAATATCGATTAGTAATCGATTATTATTAAAATTATTCTAAAAATAGAACTTACGTATATTCTAAAAAAAGAATGTAAGAAAATTCCCCTAATATGCAATATTATGTTACTACTATCATAAGGACAACATGAATGGTAATTTTAGTTTTTAATATTTTTTCTTTTATTGCATGTTATATATTGTTAAATATGTGCACAATAATATTAATTTATATATCATTTTTACATTAATTTATAATAGTCTTTAATTGTTATTTGCACATGTAAACAAACGAAATGATAAAAAATTATTCCAAATATTTTCTTAATTTTTTTCTCATATACGTTCTACGTTTTATATACGCACCTTATATAAGCTAATGGGTACTAAAATAATACAATACTTTGAATAGAGAATTGTTACTGTTCCTAAATAAAAGACATCTCTTTATAATCTATCCTCGTTATTAAAAAAGAAAGGAAAGGGCCTATTATTAAGTTATTTGTGGAAAAATAGTTTATATAATTATTAGAATTCATATATTAACATTACAATGTAAAGTATGTACATGAATTTTTATATGAAGAAGCACTTTTAAACTCGTTTATTTCGTATTATTATAAAAAAATATTAACGATAGGTTAATGCAATAAATCAAAAATATCTTTCCTTAATCGTGTATGTACCTTTTATTCATCGCATTTATTATTCATTAATTATCGTTATATATTAACATGAACATTTACGTAACGTAACAATTTACGTAAAATAACGTTTACGTAATTCGTTAACAATTATTAACAATCAAATAAATAAATATCGATAGATGAAAGTTATCATGTTATTGATACATAAATACGCAATTCGATTATATGCAAGTAGTAATATGTCAATACTACTATGTACTTATATACAAAATATAAGAAGAATCTTAATAATATAACGTACAGAAATACAAATTCAGTCGTATGATAAGAGAAAACAAAAGAGAATCCTCATTATAATAAATTAATGGTTATACATACATAATTATTTGGTAATTCTCTTCAATTATCTTATTATAAATATACCTTAAAAGATATACATCAAAAGAACATAAGTTGCAAAAGCAAATAAAACGAATAGCTAAATTTGCAGTTAATCTTGTTCAAGTATTCGTTTAGTTTGATATAGGTTATATTCATATATAATGTCTGTTGTGCATTATCTATGGATATTTAGTTGTTTAATAGCATCAGTTACGTCAGTTTGACGTGACGTCATTTTTACGTCTAAATTTATTTGTCATCCTTTTGTTTTTAGATATATACATACTTAATTGTAAAAATTTATATTTTATTAACTTCTGCAAGAAAAGAAATTTAAATCAAGAAATCAAGTGTGTTGACATAATGAATCACGGAGATATTGTCGATTTTACATCGCTTGGTAATTAAGTAATATTTTAATACTATTGTCATAGAGTTTCGTGAAAATAATTGTGCATGTACAAAACGTTGATTTTTATCTTTACAATTTTGATGCTTATATGCATGCAATACAAATCTATTTCTTACTCATTTACTATCAATGTCAATAAATTACATTTATTTAATATTGGGTTGGCAACTAAGTGATTGCGGAGTTTTGTCGTTTCCTTCTTATTTGAAATCCGGCAATCACTTAGTTGCCAACCCAATACTTGCTAATTATCCATATGGCAAAGTTAACGTAAGTCTACAAGTTATTTGTTTACACATAATTTAATTGTCTGAAATCGAACCATAAAGAAAAAGAAAAGGAAATTTATTATACTTTGTAAAATTAAAAGAATAAACTAATTACAAATTATTTTAGTTTGAAGATGTTAAAACGGTTTCCCTTTTCTATAATCTTTCTCTTCGAACCATATCTTGTTAATAAGACAATAATGCTATTTGTGTAAAATAATTCCAAAAAATATAATAGGAAGTCCTTTAAAAAGAATTTTTTTTGAAAACAATTTTCTGTTATATATTGATTTTTTATAAGTGAAATTGTGCAATTTAAAATAAAATATTACCTATTTTATTTATTATTACATATATTTATTTTATATGATTATATTACATTTTAATCACATTGACAAATACATAGTTGAAATATATATATTAATATTTTATGAAAATTTATCCTATGATCTCAATTTTTCTATTACATAAATTATCATATAACCAGAATTTGACATTATTTAATTTATTGGGAATTTGTGAACTGTTGAAAAAAAAGGGAAGAAGAACATGATAGCGATGATAAAGTAACTGTTATTATTTGACAAATTTTTGCATTAAAAAATCAGCATGATACAAGTGCATGATAATGTACATTATCCATAATAAATTCTAAAATTTTAATAATACTAAAATATTAAATGTACATTTCTTTTTTATTTAAAAAAATTTCATATGCATATACATTTATTGATTACGGATTCCAATAAAAAACAGGAATTCTTTTACCATCTACTTTATCTAAGAAATCTTATTTTGCATTATCAATATATATACAAATAGTTATAAATAGAAAAATTAATAATAAATTTTTGCTTTTATAAGATATTTCTGTCACAAATGCAAATACATCTATTTTAGCGATAACAAATTCAGATTTTATGGATACTTTCTCCTTTTCTTCTATTATGTATGTACAAATTTATTTCAGTGTTACATATACATATGTATGTTATTTCAATTGTTGATCATATCATTATTAAAAAGAAATCTTTTAGATAAAGATCTTTCTAAACACATAATTACTGTACCATTCTATTATAATATAATAAAAGAATTTAATAAATTAAAACTTACACGCAAAATAAATAAATTATATATTTTTATCTATACTATAAGATAGAAAAGTTAAAAGTTAAAATTAATTTAAAAGGTTGGAACTAAAAAATTATCTTGTATTATATGTTTTATTTTATAGATTCAGATATTCAAGAATTAATAAAACAAAGTGCAGTTGTACGAGAATACTCATATGCACCTTATAGCAAGTTTAAAGTGGGTTCTGCAATACTTTGCACTGATGGAACAATTTTTAAAGGCTGTAATGTGGAAAATGTATCGTATCCTGTTGGAATATGTGCAGAAAGAACAGCTATTGCAAAAGCGATATCAGAAGGGAAAAGAAAATTTAAAATATTAGCAGTAGTAGCAGATCAAGAAAATGGTGGATTTACCACACCTTGTGGCTTGTGTCGACAAACTATTGTTGAGTTTGGTAATATAACTATTTATTGTGCAAGGTCTGATATGAAAGATGTATTACGGACTACAATAAATGATTTACTTCCCTTTGCATTTAGTCCAGATATGAAAAATTAAATATTTTGTTATTTTATAACATAATTCTGTGACATAATTAAGATAAAAATAAGAACATAAAAATGAGGTCCTATAATAACTAATAAAATTATATACATAGATATTACTTAAAATGCTTATTTATACATTAACTTGAATAGCCTGAATATATATTTTTACATACAAAACTAATGCAGTGTAAATTTTTCTTATAGAAATAATTGATGTTTACTTATACACAAACAGTTTACACTGCATTTACTGTAATATTTTTCTTTTTTAAATAGTTTTGTTTATATTTATAGAAAAAAAATTAATGATATAATTAACTCTCAAAGAAATATTTATAATTTGATCTAGTTTTGATTACACATTAAATTAAAGTAAATATTACATCTATTTTGTTATCATTTGCATTGCACGTGCAGAAAAAGCACTGGGGCTACAATAGTCACTTCAGATTTTATTATTGTAATATATAATTTACCAAAATGGACACCTGAAAACAAAATAACATATATTTTTTAATTTTATATTGCCTATACAAAATAATGTTTATTATATGAAGTTATTTAATATTAATTGTGGGTGATGTAACTATTTTATAAGCGTATGAACTGTACTACAATTTATATTATATATATATAAAATATACATACGCGCGCGCGCGCGTGTGTGTGTGTGTGCGTGTGTGTGTGTGTGTGTGTGCGTGTGCGCGCGCTCGCTCGCATTATGTAAGATAAAAAATTATTTTTACTCTTTCCATATTTAAATGATATTTAATAAAAAGAATACTTACCATCCAATGTAACACTGGCAAAGATTTTCATTATTGGTAGCCTGCTGAATCAGTAAATCCACTTGATCTTGAACAGTCAGTGATTCTTCATGTGAAAAATCACGTCCTGTCAATTTGTCTCTCACTCTTGTTATAATAGCTAAAGCCTTTTTGTTTAATGCTTCTGGTTGATTATTATCACCTATAAAAAATATATTTATATATTGGTAATCAATAAATTAATTAAGTATTCATGAAAAATTCAAATAAAAAACTTTACATGCTAATAATTATATTAAACTGAAAGCTTAATTAAATTAATTTTGTAATTACAGCAGAAATTATAATTACCTCCGTTTTCAACACTACATGGTACACCCTTCTTTGGTAAAGTAGCTGTAAGAGAATCTAGAACGTCTCCATGTTCCTGGCTACTACTAGAACTCATTCCTTGTGCATCAGATCTCTTGCCCTTTAATGCTGTATTATCCATTAATCTCCAATTTAGAAGAGGGTCATAAACAAAAGCTTCTAATACAGCCATTAAACTATCTTTGTTACGATGTAGTACAGACATTACTGATTCACAAGTTCTTCTGTATGTGCCTTCAATGCCCGTGACCTCCATAGCATTTATTAACATTCGTGTCAAGCGAAATGGTATCTTTTCAGGGAATTTTTCACGAGTCATTGCAACTTCAAAACAATCTCCAAAATCAATATGAAGAATCTTGCCACTTAAGCGATCCAACATTAAATTAGATGGATGTCGATCTCCAAGGCCAAGTATGTAACCAACCATAGACATAACAGCAAGAGAACGCGTATAATTTGTTCTACGATCGAACCACACTTCGCTTGATGGTGACTTCAACCATAAAAGACGTGATAAGTCATCACCATGAGTATGTTCTAGAGCATGTTCAAAAACTTCAACCTTTTGCATAAGCATAAGATGTTCATAGTCTGGTGCCATCTATAAAAAACATATATCTTTGTAAATACAAACTATAAGATATAAATATGTATTACATTTAATTGATACTGTAATTTTACATACTCTTAGCATTATCCTATGTTCTATATTTAGTAATATTTTCTTTTTTTCTCTGTAATCCCTTATCAAAGTATGCAATGTATCACAATGTGGTACCCAACCAATAAGACCACTATTTGTTGATAATGGAATTACTGCATACCTCTAACAAAGTATGTCAAAACAGATAAATAGTATACATAATTTAATATATTTAGTATACATTTTGTTTAATAGTATACCTGAATAGTAAGATTTCTTCTAAAAGTATCTGGATCATGTAATAAAAGTGTATTTACTAAACCAAACAACTGCATTACACGCTCATCTTGTCTAAGATCTTCATGTCCTTTTAATAGAAACATATAATCTTTACCATTACTACCTAAAAGAGTTTTAAATATGACACATCAGTATAATTATTTTAAAAAAATATCTTGCCTTATGTATGTTGATATATACATACTATATGAAAAAATAATAGTATAAATAAAAATACTTCACCTTTAATACATAACTTTCTTGGTCGTTGTTTGCTTGTTATCACTTGCATTGAGCTATGAATACTTGCTATCCTGACTATAGGTTGACCTGGACTATAACTCCCAGGCACAGCTAATTCTAAATCTCTACAAAGAAGCAATTTTGGGCTTACATATTGAAGTTCTAAACTAGTCAACTGTGGTAATTGTCTTGATATTCTTCTAAATACATGATAATACACATCCCATGCTTGATTTAAATCTTTCACGTTTCTTGAAGCTTTATATCTATGGCACCACTCTTGTGCTTCCATTAAATCTTTTCCATAAGCTTGATTAAAGGATGTTTCTTTCAGAGTTTGTGGACCTCTTTCTAACATTGCATGTAATGGTTCCAATGTATCAAGCATCCCCTTGACATTTTTTTCTCCGAAATATAATCTGCTGGCTTCTTCTAATCCTTCATGCCATAATTCATGCCATAAAATTGCAACTCTAATTAATTCATCACTTGCCATCATAGCTTGTTGAACCAAAGTAGGACTGTGTTCACACATACTTTTTAGAATTTTATTTGCTGCTGTTTTTCTAGCATGACTTGCACTTTTTGAGGCAACTGTTAATGGATACACTAATGCTTGTGGATGTGTTTTTCCAATATCAATAAGAAGATGATGAATACATCGTCCAACTAAAGTTCTAGGTGTATCTATTCTTGCGATGAGTTGTGGTATTACTTGTAACCATGTATTAATTTCTATTAATCTGATACCTACCACAATAGCTTCATATACTTCAGGCCATTGACCATAATCAAACCATAATGTAAGTAATCGAAGTGTATCTTGTAAAGAGTTACCATGTGAAAGATTAATTGATCTAAAAAATCCTTCTACAGCTGGAACAGTGAACTGTGATATATATTGTGGGCTAGAAAGATTATTACGTGTTCCATTGCTAGGTGCATTCTCGATATTAGAATCACCTTGCTGATGTTTATAAAACAATACAGTTTCAAAATTAGTATAAGCAAAAGCATGCCATGCTTTATACCATGTTGGATCATGTTTTGTTGCAGCAGCATAATAAGATAATACTGCAGGTATAGAAGTTTCATTTATACCCTGTAAAGCTTCTAACCATTCTCCCAGTTTTAAATAACACCGTGCAAGCAATCTTTTTCTTGCATCCTGTATTTTTTCATTCTCTTGATTTATTACGGACACTATTGCAGGTTGTAAAGAATTTTGCACGAATCTTTGCAGATGATTATATGCTTCTTCTCGTTTGTTTGCTACCCACATGTTTTTACAATAAGCAAATGTTACTTGTGGATGTGTTGTTGGTAAAGGCTGATCCGGTGTTAATGAAGGATCTACAGCCAATAACATTACTAATGTTTTATGGCACAACATTAAACTACCACTTTTTCTACAAAGGCTAGCATATTTAAGCCATGTATACATATCTTCTTGTGGAGAAACTACTAAAGTATGTACTTGTATTATTTTTTGCCAATCCTCGACAATTTTTTGCCCACCTTGAAGTCTTTCCCACCACATAGATTTAATAGTAGATCTTCTTTCTGGAACAAGTTTATATTGTATTACCTCTTCTAATTCTGCTAATTTTTGAACTTCCACCATAGCATTATAAGCTCTTTGATAACTTTCACCAGCCATAGCAGTTAATTCTGTATCTAATAAATCTCTAGCACTATCAATAAGCTGATGAGCAATATCATATTGTTCATCATGTATTGCTAATACTGCTCTGTAAAAAGCCCCATCTTGAGTATCTTTTGGTATTAGTGAGATATATTTTTCCATACTTTCCCATTGACCCAGACCCCATGCAGCTGCTGCTGCCATTCTCGCCATTCTTTGTTTTATTTCATCATTTTGAATTAACCATTGTTTTGTAGCCTCATCATGTAATTGTCCCCATTCTCCAAGTGCTTCCAAACAACGCATTTCACCTAAAGTAGATTCCACATCTGCAGGGTCACTTTCTAAACGTTCTTTATATAAATGAAGTGCTTTATCCCAATTATGAAGTTTTTCATACCAACGTATTTGAACTTTAAGATCTTGCTGATTGTACTGATTCATAACATATTCAAGTAAACCTTCTGCAGCCTCCTTTTGTTGGAGTTTATTATTAATTGAAATTAAAGATTCAAATACATTACTATTTCTACTTTTATGAAATTCATCTTCTTTATAATGTAATGCTTTGGCATAAGCACGACAATGCATGGCTCTTTCTCCTAAGATTTTATTATCTAATGGTAGTGGTCCTTTGTCACAATGTTCCATAAATTCAGCTAAATTTAAAATTGTCTGAGTTATTTCAGGAAGATCTGGTACCATTAATGCTTGCTGCAGTGTTTGAATTAATTCTGTTCTATATGTGTCATTAAGTTCGGTCCAACAAGAAACAAATGCAGCATTAAATAAGTCACGTGGTAACTGTGAATAAGTTTGTGCAAGAGCCCAACATGATCTTAATGCTGGAGATGGAGATTCTTTAAGCAAACCAATAGAAAGACTTCTTAACCATTCAAGCCAGTCATCTTTAGATACTCTGCGAGTTGCTGTCCAAGCTTTTTGTAAATTTGAAGCTGATACATGCAATCGCTTTATAGTTGCTGTATCTGATGATGTTAAAGATAAATCACGATTCTTATTTCTTGAATGTCGATGTCTCATTAACAAGAAATCTTC